GTTATCCTGTAATCCTTGTTTTGTTATTTTGTAATCGTTATTTTTTAGTTAATTGCTTGATCGGATGCTTTATATATATACATATATATATATTGGAAAAGTAAGAGCTTCGTTCTTTAGGTATAGGTGATTGCTTATATGAAAAGAGCACAGTAAGGGGAGGGGGGAAAGGAGTTACGGATGGAGCCTGGGTTGCTGTGTGAGTCATCGTCTAGCAATTATATTTTTGTGCCGTCTTATGCCTAGTACAGAGACCTGATCTTTTTGTTATGAAAAGGTATAAAAGGTGAAAGACATCTTTTCTGGTTGTTGCCTTTGTCTCTCTAACGGCCACGAAGAGAGATGGGGGTCGCCCAACTCTATTTTGATCAAAATAAAAGTTGTTTGCTTGTTGAAACCTCGGCTCAGGAGTTTCTTTGTCTCTTTTAAATTCCTGAGTAATGCTGGGGCGGTTGTGAAGCTAAGTGGAAAACCTTACGGTATTCTCTTTCTTTATTAACGGTATTGACGCCTTATCGATAGGGCCGGGGGAGGCCCGTTGGCTGCAACGCAGGCGCGGAAGAAGAAATCTGCTTCAAAAGCCTTAAACCTAGTTAAGAAAGACTAGGATGGCCTAATATTAATAAGGTTTTAGGGAGAAAGAAAAATAACCTTAAAATGCCATTAAAAAGGTGGATTTCTTTGGGTGGCTGCTATTTTCCGGTCCCCGGAACGGACGAGGGAGGATAAACTTATTTTACAGATAAACGTCACCTCTTATATTTTGCGTCCACGATTTTTGGGAAAAACTCATCCATCTCTCATCGTCTCATCCGTTTTATCCATCCTTTAAATGATAAACCTATAAGGGATCGATAGGTTATATACATTTTCAAAATAAACTATTTATTTTTTACATTTATCATTTCTTAATAAAAATGTACACTATTTCAAATAGATAGTTGATATTCCACCTATATTAATACATAGGTATCTCTAAGAAATATAGTTTAGAAACATCAAACCTAAATACAAACCGACATACGTACGAACTCCTTAAAGAAATAGCAGGGCAGGGCAAACAAAACTATTCTTGAATAAAAACATCTTGGTTTGCTTGAAGGGGGTGAGCAGGGTGCACTTTTAAGAGCACCCTATTAAGATGTAACACAGGGAAGCGCGATACGACTGGTTCTTCTACATCCGGGACTGGGGTGCTGGGAAAACACCATTAAACGGCTGCCTTGCTTGGCAGCTTTCGAGGAGACCCCCGAGATGAGACGGAACCCCCTTCCCGACCAGGACGCCAAAAGCCTTGAGCGTGCCCCGCCGGCCCCGGATCTAAAAAGGAGATAAAAAGAAGCCGTGGCTGAGCCCGCGTAAACGACCCCGAAGTGTATTATTGAAACAAACTAACTTCATCTCTACGTTCCCCATTTAGCCCCTATAGCTGAAAGGGAAAAAGCGCAAAGAGACCAGGTCTCGCAACCTCCGGTGGTGCCGCCGCCACCGGTTCTCGGTCGCTTCATTACGGACAGAGGAGGCGAAAGGCCAGGAACGGCCAGGCGGTCATCTTAGGGGAGAGGACCAAACGAGTGGCCAGGGTGGAGGCGGGGGAGGGGGAAGGTGGGGATCCCCCGCTAACTAGGTAACAGAGAAACCCGGTATCTTTCTGGAATCAGGCAATGGGGGGATGACTCGGCTCACCTGAGGCAGTAGCGGGCTTCCTTTTTTCCTTCCTGCGGCCTTGCCGGTAGACGTGCGCTCCGTCAGCGTAGTGCAGAAGAGAGGACGGGAAAAAGCGGGGAATTATCATTATCACGCTTCGGACAATAAGGACGGGATTAAGAGCACAAAACAATTTTACCTGGGCTTTTGACTTTGGGGTGACTTTTGACACCCAACCTGAATATCCCCGTGGCTGCCAGGCGCTCACTTACCGAGCAAACGCATCTCTCCATTGCCTCGAGGGAAGGTCCCTCTCCCCACAGCCCCTCCTCACCTTTGGCCCTACCTGCTTCCCACGCCTTTCCCAGAAAGCCCTCTGCCCTTCCGCCCGGGGGGGGGAAAGGGTTCCAGGCAGAGCGGATGCACAACAGATTAAATTCCCTGGCAAAAGTAGGTCAGTAGATTCTGAAGGAGGCTTAAATATTTCATTACAGAGATTAAGGACGTGATTGCTAGTCGAAGACAATGAGGGCAGGATATGAATCCTGCAGCCTTTAACTCGGCACTTGATCTTTCAGGCAGCAATAAACAGCTGGGCAGATCCACGTGCCTATGCTGGACTGGGGCAACGTGGCAGGAGGGCCCAGAACACAGGCACGCTTGCTCAGTTCAGATCAAACCCTACAGAGATACACAACAGTCCTCAGCTCACAGCCATTCATTTAACAAGGCTGATTTGGAGTCGTGACAGGCTCGGGAAAAGTGACTTACAACCTGTACTCTCACTTACGACCGTCACGCTTCCCCCATCAATACGAGATCACCAGCTGGCAGGGAGGCCTGAAAATTGCAATCACACGGCTGTGGAGCATGCAGGGCCCAGATGAGAGCACCTGGCCGGGGGGGGGAGGGTCGCTGGGACGGCTAGAATCTTAGGGATCAGTCATAAGTACCACCCGTTCGGCATCATCCTAACCTCAAATGGCCACTGAATGGGTGTTGTTAAGTGAGGACTGCCTGTACAGTTTTTGGGGACATGGATAGTGTCATTCACACAGGTTTCCTTCAACCCGGCACTAGACAGCAACCCTCAAAGCTTGAAACTATGATTCAGCAAAGCCCAGAAAATATTGTGAGTGTTGGCCTTTTCTCACCGGGCATCCCAGAGGCAACTGTCAAGTTGCATTTCACCATCTTGCCCCCCAGCCCCCAGGTGACTTTGACCTTCCCCCCCCCCAAAATGGAACGGCCTCAGTCTGACTCAGATCAAGACATGGAAATGAGGACCTGGTGGAGGAGACGGAGTACTGAGCTATTTCACAATGTGGCTGGCACGGTGGGTGGTGCTGACGCAGAGAATTAAGGGGGGGGGGACAAAATTACTAATTCCTTCCTGCTTTTATTAAGACTAAAGTTATGGAGGTAGATGCATTACTTTTCATTCTGCCCCCCTCTTCCCCCCTGCTGTTGAGTTGCTTCACTGGAGGGTTTGCCTCTACAAATGCCTGCAAACATCCATCCTACAAATGCCTGCAAACATCCATCCTGCAAGGGAGGCAGCCAATCGCCCCGGGATCTCCTAGACAGGAGAGCCCTCTGGTGGATAGAGGAGGTATTGCAAGCTGCTCGAGGAAGCCAATATTTTCCAGGTCAGAACGGACCATTAAAAAGCCTGAGACGGGCACAGGAGGTGCCTTCTGGTTTGGGTGGTCTGCTTGTTGTGGCTCTGGGACAGAAGAGACTCAGCAGAGCCTAAGTGGCTCAGTTCCTTCACTACAGGAGATCCTTGAAATCTTCCCCCATCAAGGATCAATCTGGTGAAGGAAGAATGCACCTGTTCCACGGGAATTCGCACCTGCCTGCAGGGGAAGGAGCTTAAGTCCCCCAATTGGCGGCCACCCACTGCCCTCTTCTTGGCAGCAATCTGCCCAGGGCTCAGTGGCCGAAGGCAGGCAGGCAGAGGCCCCTATTTGCAATCCTCGTCTTTTGCTGCTCTGGCCCTGAAGCGAAGGGACGCTGCATCTGATCCTGGGGGCCAGGCCCTCTTTCATTTGGGAAGTGCACTCTCAACTCGGATCCCCCCACCCTGATACCTGAACGGCCTCCTCCTCCCCCCCTTGTCCTTCAGAAGGCTGTCAAGACCTGCCTCTTCCACTAGGCATAGGGGCTGGGGCGCTGATTGCTCTGGCTTCTCTGGGGACTGACTGGGAAAGGATGTGCGGTGCCACGAATATGTTGCTTTCAATCAATTGATATGCTTGTTTTGCCACTCGGTCCAAGTTAGTAGTTGCCAAGGCAACACTCTGCTTAGTCCATATTAAAAACCTGGGAGGAATCAAGGCCTGGATTGGGCAAATGGCTTAAGGAACACCAGCACAAATACGGCACCTGTCCAGAGTCACGTCCTTGACAGTGGTCATTTCCAATGAGCTTCCCTTGGAAATGCCTTTGAAACACGGATGATGTTCCCTAGTTGGGTAATGAAAACGCCTGGAAGAGAATAGCCAGTCTCAGAGAGCGTGTTATATTTTGTGGTTCTGACAAGGCTCGGGAGAAACAAACACACCACTGGCCTTATCAATCTACTCCTATCTACCCACTTTACTGGAACATGATATTATCATAATCAAGATTGTTTGATCTGCTAATGACATCCGATTGCTCATTGCTTCAGAATCTTGTCCACAAGGCCGCCTGTGTGTGACCTCCATCCTTGCCCAGGGATGACAAAACGGGAACCAAGCATTGTCCTCTGCTGTCTCCTACGAGGGTTGGGACTTTTGCTCTGGTCTGGAGCCATGCAGGGGTTACACCCTGAGGGCACTTCACATCGCTTGTGGGGAGGGATGTTCATGGCTCATGGCCAAAAAATTCTCCAGTTGAGGACCACAACCACAAGACTCTTTTCAACATAGCACAACTGCATCAGCAAGACTCGATGGGAAAGGAGAGAGATGATGCATCGATCATTTTTAAAATCTGCAGAACGTTGGGGATTCAACCCTTATAGTAACCAGGTGGGATTCTGGTGCCCTGCTGGGAAGATGATGGTCCAAAGGGAAGCTTGTAGAGTCCCTGCACAAAGGGGTCTACCTGGACACCTGGCACTCTTTCCAGCTTCATTTCCTACTTGGATAGCTTGCTCCAGAAAACAAGGACGGACCCAGTGCTGCCTCCCATCACATCTTCTCCTCTGCCTTGTCCTTCCTGTAGGTGTTTCCATAATGGGCGGGGAAGAGAAGATCAGCCTCCCATTATCAATCCTGGGCCATCTATTTCTCCATGGATCAGCTATTCAGCCGCCAAGGACAGCTTGGCAGAGCAGGAGAAGAACCTGTCCCAGGCGAGGTGCGATGGTGTCCTACGGGAAGCGCCTGGCCTGCCTTCTTGTCGGAGGCGCCGTCTACCCAGCCGTCTTTCTGCTGTCAGTCCTCATCCAATACGGAGGAACTGTGTTTCCTCCTGGCATCGATCAACCCCTGAAGGCCCGCATCTGCCAGACGATGTTCATCACAGGGTTAATGTTGGTAAGGTTTTCCTTCAATCCTTTTTTCATGAACTGGGACAGAAGAATTGTATTGATTTATCCTTTTCTTTAAAAATTAGAATTGGCCCAAATTCATGGACACCTCCATCAATGGAAGAGAAATGGTTTTTTGGCTTCTTGGGATGGAAGCTGTGAAACTGACTGGTCCACCCTCTGTCCAGATTTGGAGACGTGAAGGAGAAGGGTTTCCCCTCTGTAAAAGGCAGTATTACCCCACCTGAAGCCCTCCAGCTGGGTGAGATGTGAGGTCCCATCACTCCCAGTAAGCTCCCTTCAATACCACAGGGGAACCTCTGGCTTATGGATATTACTCCAATTTGTAAAGTTTAACGTCCTGCTATATCTACTCTGCCAGAGCCATGACCTGCTACAGCCTAACTCACTGTAATTTGGGCACTTCGGGTATGTGTTGAAGGGAGAGCAACAGGATGCAAACTTTGCCTCGCATCCACGTACAAAACGCAGAGCCTGGGTGGGCACACCGCGATGCCAGTTGTTTCATTCTGAAGGACCGTCTGCTTGCTGTGGGTACCATGCTGCTGTAGGAATTCTCACTCTTTGGGCCAAAGATTAAGGTAATCTCCCAAAATTAAATTCTCCTCTTCTGTGCTTTGGCCAACAGGGAATTCTTTTAGAGGAGCTGGGTTTGAGCAGCATCCCTGATTTCTTACGGTTTTGGACTAAAGGAATACCTCCGTGCAAGGATCTGTCCCTTGTCATTCAGAACCAGAAGTTTGATGGGGTGCCAGTGAGGATCTATTCGTCCAGAGCAGTGCCATCTACGAAAAGAAAAGCTGTGCTTTACTTCCATGGAGGGGGAGGCATTCTTGGAAGTGTCGGTAAGGCCGCAGAGACGTATTCCAAGCCAACCTTGGAGAGCTAAGCCAACAAGGTTAGGCAATCTCAGGCCAATATTATTAGCTGGAACCCTAAAAATATCCAAGGTAATGGAGAAACCCATTCTGGATGGTTGGCTACCAAAACAACACGGAGATGTTCATGAAGCCACCTGGCATTCCACTCAATGACTCCCCCTCTTTGTTTTCTCTTTCTCTGTCTCTCTCTCTCTGTTTCTCTCTCTCTCTCTCTCTCTCACACACACACACACACACACGCAGAGAGACATACAAACACAAAGACAGAAAAAAATGAGGAAGAGTCTGCCCTCTGAAAAAGTATCCCAGAAGCAAACAGGGGAGCTGAGCAGTGCCCGTGGGCAACCTTGGGGTGACGGCTGGCCTTCAGCAAACCCCCCTCCGAGGCTTCAGGCGGGGAAAGAGAACGGTTTGCAGAATGAGTTCTCAGCCAGTGCAACTCTCTGCTGCTCATTTCAGATTTCTACGAAAGAATCCTGTGCCACGTGGCCAAAGAGGGCGATGCGACGGTGGTGGCGGTTGGGTGAGTGTTGCCCTCCATGCCTCTCTCACCTGCAGCACTGGGGGGGGGGTTGTCCAAAGTTATGATCCAGGTGGAGAGTCTTGTACAAAGACAAGCAAAGGAGATGCATTGGCCCACCCGGCCGCTCTCCACAACACACACCGCACCCGGGCTGGGTCAGGGCTCACCGGAATCAAGCTTTCCCCAGCTGGAAAGGGTCCCTTGGGGTCGAGCTGAAAGGGGGGAGGGAGTGAGTTCAGGAACGGACAGGAAGTGGCCGTAGGGGGAAGGGCCGGACTTCCCAAGTGAGGTAGGGAGAAGCTCCAGATGGAGCCACCTTGATCCTGTTTGGCAGAAGATTGATTGTATGTGTTAACTTATTTTTTTAAAGAAAGTTTTTCAAAAGAAAGCAAGGACTGAATTCATCAATGTACCAAGAATCCATAATAAGTCATTTTCTGCTCCTTTTAGGTATGGACTTGCACCAGAGAATCCTTATCCAAACCAGTACACTGAATGTCTGAAGGCTGCTGTCTACCTCATGAAACATTCGGAAGATTATGGTGTGGACAGTTCCCGTATTATCATTTCTGGAGACAGTTGCGGGGCTAATTTTGCCACGCGCATTTGCCAGTTACTGGTGGATCGCAGAGACCTTCCCAAGGTCCACGCTCAAGTACTGATCTATCCAGGTCTTCAGGCCCTGGACTTCTCTTTGCCATCCTATCAGCAGAACTGCAAAGGTCCACTCTTGTGGAAAAAACTGGTTGCCTACCTTTGCTGCCGCTACCTTAACAAGTCAACTTCCTTTGTAAATGAACTTCTGAAGAGCAGCCATGTCCCCAAGGCCACGCGACTGAAGTACCAGAAGTGGCTGAATGCCAACAACATCCCTGAACAGTTCAAAGTCAGGGGCTATAGAGAACAAGACCATGCTTTGTCTAGTTTTAACCCTCAGCTCCACGAAGAAATGAAAGAGATGCTCTCTGAGACCTTTTCCCCCTTGTTGGCCGAGGATGCCGTCGTCTGCAAGCTCCCTCAGACCTTCCTTTTGACCTGTGAGTTTGATGTCCTTCGAGACGACGGGCTGCTGTACATGAAGCGGCTGATAGACAACGCTGTGCCGGTAACCTGGAGCCATGTAGAGAACGGCATGCATGGAATAATGGCCCTTTTTGGCTATGACATCCTGTCCTTTCCTTCAGCAAAAAGGATTGTCCACGATGTCACTGATTTTATCAGACGCTTGTAAGGCTAAAATGAAACCAAGAGAGGGACCTCATCTTTTCATCTTATTCCTGACATGCAGAGAATTGGGTGTCCCAGACTTGTGCTCCCCTTCGGAAAAACTGCTTGAGTGCTGGTCAGTGAACCCCGAACCTGGGTCCTCTCCACCGGAACGCAGCTCTGAAGATCAAAGAGGCTCAGAAGAACTCCTGAAGAAGATGGTCATCCAGCTGCTTCTCAAGCCAGATGTTCTCAAGAAGTTGTGCCAATGATCACCACCACCACCACCCTGATCTGAAAAGTGTGCGTGTGCGTGTGCACACACTCCAGGGAGGGACAGAGAAGGATTGTGCCTGGAAAGGCAGGACCTTCACACCTGGGTCCTTCAGCTACTCCTGAGAAAAGAAGTGCAGGAAGACCAACTCCTCCCAGGAGCAATTTCAGAATCAGAACCAAAGAATCTCCTCTCTGGGTGGGTGGGGCGGGGGGATCTGAATTCACTCCTTTCGGTGGAACCCCGAGGCCCAGTCCCCCAGCGGCAAAAAACGCCTCTTCAATTCAGTCAGAAAATTCCCATCCTCAGGGGGTTGGGGGTGGGGGTGGGGCGGTGTCTTCGGAGAGGATGTGCGGAAAGCTCCCCTCCAAAGAGACCCGCAGGGCAAAGAGGCCTCTCGCTTCCAGTCCCCCTCCCCATGCTGGGCCGAGGGGTGTTGAGCTAGGGGACCATCCCGGATGATGCAGGCAGGGCTCCGGGAGGCCCACGTTGTGCAGCTGCAGAAATGCAAGAGGCCTCGCTCTGACAAGGCCAGGAGCCTTGTAATTACACTGATCAGGGCACGGCCTCTCTGAGACCTCGCGGAGGTAAACAAACAGCTCCACGGGGATCCTTTGGCCTCTCCTGGGAAGGTGCCCTGTTCAACCCGCTCACGAGGAAAGGGCTCCTCTGATCAGCAGCGCCCCTTCTCGCCTCGCCTCACCTCACCCTCTCCTCGTTCGGCTCCCCTGCCCACCAAAACGGTACGTCAAAGCCCAGCCTCTGAGGTGACGCGTCTTGATAGCACCAATGTTCGGATCGCGGCCACTTCAGGAAAGGATGGAGGCGAACTGCAATGTTTTCACAATCAGGGTAGCAGCTCGCCTGTTCAAAGGGCCGTATGGCTCGGGGAAGCCAACTTCCCTGGACCTCCAAACTCCCAGGGGATGTTCGGGTCTGAAGGCTTACCAAATGCCAGCAGGGCAGCCAAGGCTGTTACGGACGTTCCTGCTCTGCTCTTGGCCTGGGCCGGTTATGATGACCTGACCCAGATGGAGGTTCCTCTGGGGACTGTGAGGACTGTGCAGCTCTCCCACCTCCTTCATTGGGGTTCCTTTCTGGGAGGTGCACAGGAGTTGGAAATACCCCCTTTCCTCCCGTTTATGCTGGTGCTTGTTGGGTGAACTCTTTTGGGTTAGGGTTCACTGAGGCCCACTCCCTTCTTTGCATCAACAAAACATAAGACGAAAGGAAGTTCAGTAGAGCCTTGCAAATGTTAGATTATGATGCCTTTTGCTTTCCATGCTTGCTCCAAGGAGCTAGTGGGAATGGAAGCCAAGAGGCCGAAAGAAACACTGCAGCCTGGGGCAAGCTTGTTGTGACTCAAATTCTTGAAACCTTAAAAGCTTGTCTTTCTGGAAAGCCTTCTCTGGTTTAATAAAAGTCTAGCCTTATTTTGTATCCTTCTGCCCTCTTCTCTTCTTGTTCTTCTCCTTCAAGGTGGCTGGAAAACCACCTGACAGAGCAAAGCAAACACCGAAACGCTTTTATCAGTGTTTGTCTGCTCTGTTTGTTCCTGTCTGTTCCCTCGCAAAGGAACTAAAGCAGGAACCCAAGATCCTTCACTTGACCTGAAAGGACGAATGTCCCTCAGAGACTCCAAGGAGGGTTTTTCTTCCGCCTTTCGGCTCTGGTGCATTCAGACCAGGCCCGGCTGCTCGTTATCGTGGCACTCCCTAATGCCAAAGGCGCCCACGCATTTCATCCTAGATCCCAATCGTCACATGTGCAGGCAAAGCTCCAAGGAAAGCGATGCCTTGGCTAAGATACTTGGCTAAAAGCACGGCCTTCGGTTCCATAATTCTGATAAACCCCTGATCATTCTGACAGAGTGAAAATGATGGGAGGGGTTTTGGCAGCCAGGCCTTCCTCTTTGCACTGCACAGATCCTGAGGTCCCATGCTGAGCCTCTCGCTGGGCACTTCCGGGGCCAGAAGGAGCTCAGCACGTCTCTCTCGGGGAAAACCCTTCTAGAAAAGGGAGAGAGACTCTCCTGGAAAAGAGACACCTGGCATCACCGCCCCCGTAATATGCCAGGTGCCTGTCAGAACCTGAGCAGAAATGTCTGTCCCAGACTGAGGAGCGATTCACCGCCTCGTGATGGAACTGTGAAGGTCGAGGCTCTGGTCCTCTGGTAAGCCTGGACAGGCCCTGGGCAGAAGGGCTGAATTTTCTACTGATCTGCAATCTCCTCCCTGTCCCCACTTTATATTCACTTTTCAAAAAAAAGAAAAGCCTGTTTCCTAGGAAGTATTTTAGTGCCGCTCTTAAGTCTATTGCATTTTAAGATGCAGTTCTAAGACTCTTCGGGTCCACAGCCGTGAAACTCCAAGGGGAAGGCTGAGGAAGGAAGGAAGGAGGGAAAGAAAAGGAGGCAAAATTATTGCTCAGAGCATCCCACTCCCAGCCCAGCGTAGGGGATGGAACAGCACAGGATGCAAGAGCCACAACCAGAAAGAACAGAAAGAGAATGACTGGGGACAACGGGGGGGGGGCTTTCCTGCCTCTGCTCCCCCCCTCAATTTTTCCACACTGTCCAGCGCAATCCCTCTCGGGGGCAGAACTGGAGGTCTGCAACACGGAGGTCCTCTCCACCCCCAGCGGGAGCCCTCCAACCCTATGGGGTGGGAACGGCTGCTTGCCCGGTTACCGAGGCCAGGACGAGGGGCTCCTTCCAGTAACAGCGGGAACCTCTGCTTGGCGAGCGGGGTGGGGTCAGATTCAGCCCCCCCCCGGTCCTCGCCGGTGGGGCTGCACGGGCGGGGCTCGACCGGCGTCCTCCGAGCAACAAGCCGCGCCTGAATCCGGCGAGGGGCCGAGCAGGACGGGAGGTGTGGTCCGAGGGCGCTCCGCCCCGACCGCGAAGCCCGAGGCCGAGCGCGGCGGCGGCGCTTCCTCCCTCCGTCCGCGGCCGGCGCCCCGATGGGCTTCCCGCAGGCGCTGCTGGCGCTGGCGGGCGCGGCGGGGCTGGCAGCCCTGATCCTGCTGGTGCTGGGCAGCATCTACTTCGAGGCCACCAACTCCGAGCTGCCAGCCGGGCTGGAGCAGCCGGCCAGGCTCCGCGTCATCCACGCCTGCCGCATCGGGGCCGCGGTCCTGGTGAGCTGCCGGCGCAGGCGGGCGGGCGGGCGAGCGCCCGGGAGTCCCCGAGGGAGGGAGGCAGGCAGGCAGGCAGGCAGGCAAGTGCCGGGCCGCGGCCCGTGCCCTACGGGTGGAAAGGCTCTGCCGAAGAGCGGCAGCGGCGGCGCTGCTGCTGCGCGGAGAGTGGCCAGAGCGGGGGGGGGCGTCGTGGGGACCCCGCCTGCGCCCCTCCCGGGCTGACGAAGCCGGACGGGGGTCCCCTCTCGGGAGCCCGGCCGAGCCAAGCTGGGCGTCCCGGGGCCCGCACAAACACCGGCCTCTCTCGGGCGTCTCTAAGGGCAGCCCGGGGCGAGCGGCACCGCTGACCCTGGAGAGAGACCCCTCGCTACAGCCTCCGGGCTTTAAGGGCTCCGCCCAGACCCCTGAAGGGAGTGCGGGGAGGCGGAGGAGCCCCGCGGGGCCAAGCCGAGCTTCCCGCAGGTGCGAGGCGCCTCTTTGTTAGAGGGGGGGGCTTCTGAGGGGCTTCCGAGTCAGGCCCGGAGCAGGCTGCCTTTTGCCTGCGGCCAGCCGCTCCAGCGCCTGCTTTGCTCCCCTGAAAGGGACGGATCCTGGAGAACCTGCGCCTCTGCACCCAGATCCAGTTCGTCCGGTTTGTGCGCAACGCCCGGACGAGGAGGAGAGACCCCGCCCTCTGCGTCCAGGACGCCGCCTTCGAGGGGATCCCCGTCCGGATATACCGGCCCAAAGCGCCCTCGGCCGCTGGCCCGAGGAAGGGCGTCGTGTACTTCCACGGAGGGGGCTGGATCTTCGGCAGCTTGGGTGAGCCGCGTCGCCGGGAGGTCAGCTTCCTCCGAAGGAAGAGGAACGCGGGGATCTCCTATCTAGCCGAAACCGAGGCTGATGCGCAAGGAGAAGAGACTGGGGTGAGGGAGCCCCTTTCGGGAGGGAGAGGACTGCGGGAGGGGCTGCCTTTGGGGACACCATCCCTACAGGCGCCCCACCGCCCCCACTCCACAGCACAGCTCCCAGAAAAGACCCGGGGGGGGCGGGGGGGGGAGGTTGAACGTAGCAGAGCTATGGGAAGACCCAGGAGAGGGAGACAAAAGGGAGGCTCTGAAGGTCTCCAGGACAGAAACAGCAAGAAAACTTCCCAGAAGGTGAAAGGCAGCATTTGGCCCAACATTGTATTATTCAATTCCTGCACATTAGCAAAAGTAAACACACACACACACAGAGGGGGGGGGAGGGAGGAAGAGAGAGAGGGGAGGGAGAGAATTTTTTATTCTTTGCTGATCTAGATCTGACTCAGGCGCAGTAATGCTATATTGATTGTACTGAATAATTCAGATCAGACCTCCAAATTTACTCTATTTGGGTTTCAGAACAGAATTGCCAAAGTAAACTGATCCAACTCAGAAAATGGGTCAGATTCAGGAAAAAAAAAGGTTTTCCGTGTGTGACTACTGAATCGCTGGATCCCTTCGTAAGCAACCAGTTGATTCAAAGAAAGGGATCCAAAAGAGAGGCTTCGCCTCCTTCATGCCCACCAGGCACTGGAGGATCTTGATAAACTATTTGGGGGTGGTTTCCACAGTGGTGGCTGGCAGCGTTTAGGAGATGCGTGAGGCAGGGCTGGCAAGCGCTGACTGTCCTTCCAGTCAATCATGCAAATAACCTGTTTTTCAGGGAGCCAGGAGCACCTCTGCTGCTATTTGGCCAGAGAAAGCGACTCAGTGGTTGTGTCCGTGGCGTAAGTCATCCCAAATGGGTTTTGAAATCTTACCCCAGATCCTGAGAGTTCAGAGGAGGCAGCCCAAGAGAATGGGCCACCAGCTTTGCGAGGCCACATCCCCAACTAATCTTGGGCGAAGCTCCCCAACAAAACAGAAGGGCATTGATCTAAGCAAATGGGGCAAGACTCCCCCTTGGGGGCAGCCCCGTTGCCCTGAAGGAGAAGTTAAAGTCTTTCCCAATTTGGGGTCAACCAAGCTCCCCCCCCGAGGAGGGGCTTCTTCCTTACTGCCCAGGGTTTCTGCTTCCCATCCGAGGAGGCTGGTAGTCAACCACCACGGGGATCTCTCTCTCTGCCTCTTGAGGGAGCAGGTCAAAGTCTTCCCCTGGTTTATGTGGCCCTTCTTGTTCCCTGCAGGTACCGCTTGGCTCCTGAGCACAGACACCCCGCCCAGCTCAACGACTGCGTTGCTGCCTCCACCCACTTTCTGAAGGTTGCCGAGGACTACGGGGTGGACAGCAGCCGGGTCATCCTTGCTGGAAATGAGGCGGGCGGGAATCTTGCTGCCAGGGTCTGCCAAATCTTAGCAAGTGGATCGGGCCCCACCAAGGTGCATGCTCAGATCCTCCTCTGCCCCGTTCTCCAAGCGGTCGACTTCAACCTGCCTTCCTACCAGCAGAACCGTGCCGTGCCGCTTCTGTTTCGAGAACGGGCCGCTTTCTACCTGTTGCAGCGCTCGACGGGAGACGCTTCGCGCCTGGGGGACGTCTTGGAAGGGTCGCACGTCCCGCTGAAACTGAAAGCGCAGTACAGGAAGTGGCTGAGCGGTGACCTCCTCCCGGAAGGGTTTAAAGCCAGGGGCTACAAGCCCACCGCCTGCCTTTCTTCGAGAGAAGACGTCTGCGAGGCCCTTGAGAGCCTGACTCTGCCCGAATGCTCACCGCTTCTGGCGGAGGAGGCTGTCCTCCGGCTGCTTCCCAAGACCTTCATCCTGACCTGCGAATACGACGTCCTCAGAGACGACGGTCTGCTCTACAGGAAGCGCCTGGAAGAGCAGCGTGTCCCGGTGACCTGGCTCCACCTGGCGAACGGATTCCATGGGATTATAGACTTTTTTGAGAGAGGCTGGCTCGGTTTCCCATCTGGGAAAAAGGGGGTGGATGATATTGTCAGCTTCATTAAAGGCTTATGAAATAACAAGAATAACAATATTGAGTCGGGAGGTAGAAGACATACATCTGTCACCGATTCAGTCCAGTTGGGACCAGCCTGAGCACAAAAGGCTGAATTGCTCTGGAGCCTGAGCAGTGGCCAAGCAGGGGGGAGGCAGAGGCTCTCCAGGCTTCCCATCACGGAGAAGAGATCGGAGTGACCTTCTCTCGGGCAGAACGGGGGGGTGGGGTGTCCATGCCGGCTTCATGCCAGCATGGCGGCCACGAGAAGCAACCACATCAGACTGTCCTATGGTACTGGATTCAGTGTCTGCTGTTTTAATGGGCTGTTATTCCGAATGGTTGGTTCATTGTGGTATTTCACTTAGAGTTCCATGGCATTCATTTTGTTTTATTTGCACGCTGACTTGAGACTCAGATTATTTGGGAGACTAAATAATAAATGTTAGAAACAACATTATGGAAATGGCCTTACAGATTTGTGTGCTGCAATTCAGGAATAAAATAGAGCTAACTTGCTCTGTTATATTAACATGGCAACTTAGTCTTGTACATAATCCTTTTGCAAAGGAGGTAACTAACCAGGTTCAGGCTCAAAAAAAGCTGGAAACCTTTACAAAGAATCTACAGAGGACGTTGCTTTCGGCTTCTGCGCGTGAAAGGCTGCACTAACAGCGGCACTGAGCTGCATCCCACATGCAGATAGAAGAGGCTCCCCAACATGAGACGTACTTTAATTAGTTCCGTTTATCCTCCTGATTTTCAGCCAGACTTTGCAAGCAACTAGAAGCATCCCCTACGTATCTGGCCCCATAGCCCTGGACCCCATAGAACAAGCCCAGGGATTGCATCGCAACAGAATCTCCCATTACCGCGTGTCACAGGAGGGTAACCAAGGCGATGGGCAACAATGGAGAACCTGAGATGAAGGAATGCCACAAAGGCCCAACTCTCCGCTCAGAGAGGAGCCCCTAGAAGGAGAAAGGGGGGGGGGAAATCATGATTAACCTATGCAGAGATGTCCAGGAATGCACCCTCCCAAGCTGGAAGGTGGAGCCAAAGTACTCGACCAAAGTGCTGATTGGAAACTGGGGGGAGGAGAGGAGGAAGGTAAGAAAATCGGGGGGGGGGACATCAAGGCAGTTGGCACAGGAAATCAGGATCTGCGGGTTCCCAGAGGGGGAACCCAGCGTGGGCGATCTCAGCTTGTTTCTATGATGTCTGCTTATCTGGGTTATTTTAGTTTGTCCGCGATAATGAGGGGACCGGTCAAAGCACCTTCAAACAAGATTTTGTTCCTTTCCCCACTGGGACCCCGGACCGAACCGTGATGCGGAGGCTTATGAAGCGGCTGGAAGTGAGTGATGGGAGTCCTGATCACAAGCCTGGGGCCTCCTCTGCCCCGTGGGGCCTTTTAGTTCCACGTCCTGGCTGGACTGGGAAGGCTTTGCGATTCCAGCCAGGGTTGAGAAGGAGGGCCCCGGTTCCTGCCGCCCTCTTTCACACTGAGCCCCATATGGGCTGCTCTCACGCCTTGCACTTGACAGTGGCAGAGGAGAGAGTCGTTTCCTGGGTGTGCACAATACACTAAGCCAGACACTAACCCGAGGGGCTGAACTACACACCAAGAAAACCCAACAAAAACCAATCAAGTTTAAAGCAAACCAAACTCAGCAGGGAACACAAAAGCTACTCTTACGTTTAGTCCCGAGCGCCTCCCCCCCCCCCCCCCCCCCCCCCCCCCCGCAGACCAGCCTCTGGATGCTCTTCCCTCCCAAGCTCCCTGCCTCTGGGCTTTGTAGTCCCCTCACAGCCCCCAGAGCCACCCTGGCTCCATTCAGGCAGGCCATGACATTTTGGCCACATGACTGTCCCAAACAGTCACCAAGGTCTGACTCAGGATTCTGCCCTCCCCAGCCCAGTTCCACCAGTCTCAGTTCACCTCATCAGCCTAGCCAGGCATGACGGGAGGGGCACTTGCAGCCTGCTCTTCCGCCAGGCCCACCACCTTAAAATGCCACTCGTTGCCTTTTAGGGCCTGCCAAGGAAGTATATCTTGACCCACTGTGAAGAGGCCAGGCATCAGCACCTGGTCTCCCAGTATGACGACCAATACAACAGACACGGCCACAACCCCCAGCTGCCTCCACTCCGCAAATGGCACAGGCACAAACTGGCATGGACGCCAGAGAAATCAGACTATCCCCTCGTTGGTAGGTTCCGGGAGGACGGAGGGCAGTGAAGGGTGGGGTGGTGGGCTCCTGAGATAGAAAACTGGGCAGGGGTCTCAAGGAACACCTGTGGAATCTGCAAGACCATCAGGTGGACTAGCCGGCTGCGATGGGACAAGTAGGAATTAAAGCAGGTCTCCAGAGGGGGGGGGAAGGGGGGCGTCCCGATCCTTGCTGGGTGGAGTCAGGGCTACCAGATCGGGATGAAATAGTCTCTGCCTACAAACACGATTGACACTTTGGCTATCCAATGGATGCTGGCGGTCTGACATGGTAGTCCTGGGGATGGTCACATCAGCCCCCCCCTCCCCAAAGAACCGAAAGACTGCCCCCTTGTCCCGAGGGCCCCCACCAGCATGCAGGAGGAAAGACCCACCTGCCTTGGTTCATCCTCAGTGGTCTTCACTCCCTCAGCTCCTCTATCGCTGCTCAGATCCCTGGTCTAACAATTATTTGGGAACAGTTACGGTCCCTGCTTCTCCTCCTCTTCCTCCTCCTCCTCTCCCATTTCGCCTTCCCTCACCTTTTCCCTTTTGTTTTGCTTCCCCTCCCTCCCTCCTCCTCAGAGCCCCCAACCAACTATGGGCTTGTGGAGCACCTGATGAAAGCCTGGCATCGCAAAGAGACGGAAGTGGCCCAGACCGTCTACCACAGCTCCTACCCCAAGCCTCCCGCCTCGGCCTACGCCCCTCGCCAGCGGCCGGACACCAGGCGCATCCTGGAGCAGAGCCGCCAGCAGTGGCTGCCCAGAAGCCTGGATGCTCCTGCCTGAGAGAAGGAGGGGCATTCTTCTCTGAGAGGCAGGGGCAGGAGAAGCAGGGGAGGGGGATAAAAGAGAGCTGGAAGATTTACGGTGAGGGAACCGGAGCCATAAACCACAAATCAAAACCTTGTTGCCTTCATCAGCAGAGCTTTCCCACAGGCCACCCGGTAAGAGGAGGATACAGGGAGGAGTTCAAAGAACCGCTTCCGGCATCCGTTCAGGATTTAATGCCTTCCGAGCTCAACCACAATTCCAGGGACCTAGAAAATGGAGTGAAGTTTGCACGGATTTCCGCCGAGAAGGGCTTCAGGGAACCTTGAGGCCACTTGTGGCTTTGAGCTCCCTCTGGCTCCCCTTCCTCGCCCCCCCCCCGGCCAAATAAAGCTGCTGAGGGCACCCAGGAGACGTGATTGTCCTCTTTCCAGAGCGGGGGGGGGGCACAGCAGTTGGATTAGGACGGGAAGGGAGGACTGCCCCAATGTGGGAGCAGGATGCTGGGAATACTTTCCATGGGGGGGGGGAACAGGGCACGGAAAAATAAATAGGCGGAACAAAGACACCCCCCAACCCCTGGAATTTGACTTGAGTGCCCCCCCCCACATACCTAGTTAATAACCACAACATCGCACCAGCTGCGGTCACTTTTACACCAAAAGATCACAGGACGCAACTTTGCACAGGTGCGACACGTACTGGATTGGTCACCATCGTGACTCTACATTTGGGGGGTGGGTGGAGGAAAATTTTAGCTTCAGGGAGAAATGCTCTTTTGGAGTCGGAGCTGCCAGCGTTCGCCCTCAACCTCGCCACGACTTGACCCGGCTTTCCTCGGCGGGGCTCCTCGGCCCTCAGCTACGGGGCTGAGCTGCCCTTTGCCTCCTTTGAACTAGGCAGGCGGGGGCAGGGAAAGGGAAGGGCACTCAGCCTTCCTCCTCTTCCTCCTCTTCCTCGTTGTCTTTGCTGGGCGCGCATCGCTGGAAACAGTTCACCAGCAGCGCCAGAACAAAGCTGGAGACGATGGCTGCGACGGAGACAGCCGCCCCGGAGAAGACGATGATCAGGAGGTCCACCAGGGACAGCCTGAACCTGCAGTCCCGGAAACTGGCTTCCGTGAGTTCGCTGAGCGGCACAGAGATCTCCTCCGTGGGGAGGGAGCACCGGATCTCACCCAGACCTGCAGCACAGCAGGAGGCAGAGAGGGAGGGGGGAGGAGGGGCACAGAGTAAGGTGGTTTTACTCTTAGGAGTAGCATTCACAGCTCCCCTGCCCAAAATACCGCTCAGCTGAGCCCAAAACTGGATAAAAACACTCTTTTCCTCTGTCTTTCTCAAATTATTCAGCACTGCAGTCCAAATGCTGAGATGCAGATGAAGCCACCCAACAAAAGGAATCCCTACTTAGGCCTGATCCCCTGGGGGGTGGGGGGTGGGGAAGGGGGCAGCTGTGAGATTCCGCCTCCTCAGATGGGAATTTGGCAGAGGAGTCTCCAGGCAAGGCTTTTTTCTTCCACAAAGACCCCGGCAGGCCTTGCCTCCTTCCCTCTCAGCAGAGCCAGGACCAGGGCCCTGGAATGTTGTCAGGTGAGCATTAGTGATTGTGGCTTTTCCTGTCTGGTTCAGCGCAAGGCTGCCTAGGCAGACTCACAACCCTGTGCAATTGTGCTACCTGGCAGAAGAGCAGCAGTGGCTCCCTGGGTTCCAGTCTGCCAGTTGGCATCCTCACCACTGGTGTGTGTGTGTGTGTGTGTGTGTGAGAGAGAGAGAGAGAGAGAGAGAGAGAAGAAGAAGAGACAGGAGGGGGAGAAGGAAGTCCCCCGCAAAGTGGCTGCCTGAGCCAGATTGTTGGCACTTTCCGTTCGGCCTGGCATCCGGCTGGCACTCAGCTTCCCAGAACTGCCCGTCCACAGGAACTGATCAACACCCCCCCCACACACACACACATGCCAAACACGTTGGCAGCCTTTGATAGCAGGGAGACTGAGGCAAGGACAAGGAAGCCCATTTGCCAGCTAGACCGAGCCTGGCCGGTGAGCAGAGCTGGCAGATCATTGGGGGGGGGGGCGCACTGGCTTCAGAAATGCTGAAGGGAGGCTGAGGAAATGTAGGGCGGGGGAGGATGGCAGAGGCCAGTTGATGCTCGAAAGCCCTGGGCCGGAGGGAGTCTCGGCTCACCCACTGGCACAGGAGGGCCCAATTCAGACCCCTGCGCCCAGGGCGCTCTTACGCACGCACGGATTGGATGGAATCCGCTTCTACCTCCCAGGGGAGACCCCATTCCTATCAAGACCCCCACACGCAGGAAGGCCCCTCCCAGCAATCCATACCTTGGGGCAGCCGGAAGGCGTTCTCTTGCAGCCAGCTGAAAAGGCCGGCAAAGTCGCAGTCACACAGCCAGGGGTTGCCGTCCAGGCGCAGGGCCCGGAGGTTGGGCAGGGCGGACAGGGCCGCCACGCTCAGCCTCTGCAGGCGGTTGTGGTTCAGCTCCAACACCTGGAGCTGCTCTAGGCTGGCGAAAGCCGCCTCGTCCACCTCGGCCAGGCGGTTGTTCCCCAGGCAGAGCTTGACCAGCCGCTCTGATGACCGGAAGAGGCCGGCGCCCAGCTGGCTCAAGTTGTTGTAGCTCAGATCTAAGTAGACCAGCTTGCCGGAGCTGCCGAAGGTCCCGTCCGGCAGGGCAGCGATGGCGTTGTTCCTGAGCTCCAAGTAGACCAGGTCGCCGTGGAAGATGAAGAAGTCCTCCGGGACCCTCTGGATGCTGTTGTTGCCCATCAGGAGCTTCCGTACATCCAGGGGGAACGGGGTGGGCACGCCGGGCAGCCCCCGGCCCCGGCAGTCGACCGTGTGAGAGTCTGGGCAGCTGCAGGTGGCCGGGCAGGGGTGCCCCAAGGAGAAGGCCAGGCAGAGCAAGACCAAGGGTGGCACGCCTGGCAGCATCCTGGCAGCTCAGCGAGGCCGCGGGAGAGCCGTCACCACCAGCAGAGAAGCCGTCGGCATCTTGGCAGGGTGGCAGCCCCGGCGGCGTGTGAGGCAGCTGGGCGGAGTGTGGTTGGAAGCGTGTGGTCCAGATGGCAGATCACGTATCCTGGATCACATAGCAGCCGCTCAAGAGGAGGTGGGAAGGCAGCCCGTGCAAGGGGGGGAGGGAGGGAGGGAGGGAGAAGGGGGCTCGCTGAGGCTGCCCCTGAAAGCTGTGCCAGGAGCAGGGTGGCTACCACCCAGGAAGGCCCTGGGTTCAAGAAATAAAAGGAAGTGCATCTCACGCGGGGGCCAGACTGGCAAAGGCAATCTTTACACTCCTTTTGTCTGAATTCGCACAACAGAGGTAAACCTTAAACCGAGGTCAGCCAAGCCCAAGGGCTGTGTTTACCCGACAAGCAAGTGCACGCAAACACACCACACCATGGTGGTTTCAAGGAAGCCAGCTGGATGAAACAGGAGCCGAGACAATGGCTGAGGATCCCGCATCGCACCAAGTCACCATCCATTCAGCCCTGTTTTAGCCCAGTTGAAGAACGTGCGGTGGGAAGGCGGCCTCCGTGCCGAGTGGGCGATCACTGGGGGTCCCTAAGCAGAGGAGCGTCCCCCAGATGGCCGTGTTTCCCTCCATTCCGGAGCCCCTTGTCTCTCGCCAGAAAGGGGGAAACCCCATGAAGCTGTTGCAAAGAGGTTGCTCTGGGGCTGCTTTTTATCCACAGAAAACCCTCAGCAGTCCTGCCTGGGAGGGAGGGAGGGAGGGAGGGGTCTCCTTTCACCACCACCCCTCTGCTTGCCTCATCTTCCCGCCTGCCTCATCACGGAGGATCTTCTGAATTTCCTGTAACATTAAACCTGAGAGGTGGGGAGGGCGCACGCAGGGCCCGCCCCTTGGGACCCTCTGAACCCCACCCAGTCACAGGGCAAGGGGTAAGGCGGATCCCTTCTTGGCTGTGTCCATCACTCGGTCAAGCCCGCCAGGAGAGCAGAAGAGCGGCAGCTGCAGCCTTCCCGGGACGCTCAAACCCCAAAACCTTGGCCAGACCAGTAAGCCCGTGGGGGAACCAGATTAACCCGGGCTGGGATTCCGCTGGGCCAGACAGGGGCCAATTTCTCTGCTTCTTTTGGAACAAGAATTCAAAAATGACCATTAAAATACGGCTCCTCATTTTCCTCGTGGCCGGAGTGACCATCTGCATCTTTGCCAAGGAAGGTAAGCACGGTGCAAGGCACAGTTCTCGCCGGGGAAATTCAGTATTTTTGGCAATTCCCCTCCTGGAATGCTCAGGGCTGCTAAGCGTTATAGAATCAATTCATAAATGCAAGTTTTAAAAGTATAAAGAAGCCAAAACGGAATAACGCCCTGGAATTTTAGTCAGTGGAACAGTTGCAGGCAGAAGTTTCGTTTTGTGACCGCCCCCTCAGCCCCCCCCCCCCGTCAAGTGAGGCTGGGGGAGGAGGGAATGTGCTTGGTCAGTTCCTGGCACTGTGCTGGGCAGTGAGTAATCCACCTCCGCGCCTGCTTTCCACAGAAAAAGAATTAGGCTTGCAACAGAAACGAAGCTGCAGCACATCAGCCCAGGTCCTCCGGGATCCAGCTGGGAAATGTTGCAACCAAATCACTCAGGGTGGGGGGGGGTGGGCTGCTGGGGGGGGCGGTGCCTAATGGGTCTGAAGGTTCTCCCAATCACCCAGAGGAAAGCTTCCTCACAAAGCCTGGGGCTCCGTTGAACCTTCCCTGGCGCCATCCATCTTTTAGCCCTCCGGCTGCAGTGGCCAAACCACGGCTGGGGCCGAGGGGGGCTGCCTGTCCTGCACCTTTACCAGAAACCAGGCTCAAGAACAGCTGAGCAAGGGCAGAAAAACGATGTAGCTACTTGTTAAAATGCAAAGCCCGTCAAAAAAATTAGCCGGTTCCTTCCAGGTCTTCCCTCAGAAATGCCCACTTCCCCAAAAGGCAGGCAGGCAGGCTGGCCCGGCCCGTTCCTCCCCCCCCCTCCTGCTGCAAAAAATGGCCAGGAAGGAGGCAAGAGCCAACGGGGGAAGGGGGGTGGCCTTCAGGGCTGGCACAGCCTCTCCCTGCCAAGCACTGGGGGGCTTTCAAGCGTGAAAAGAGGCAGGGCTGCTTCAAGGAAGCTTCTCCCCAAATCTTGGCTTCCGGGTTGCACGAAGCCTTGGGCTCATGATAGCCCTAAAGCCCCCCCCGATTCCTCCCCCCACTCACAGCTGCACTAGGGAGGAAAATCACACCGTGGGGAGGGACCCGCAACCCCTCCGTGCCCTGGGGCACAAAGGTCCGCACATCTGTCCCGCTGCCCACCACCCATCCTGGCTACTGCTCTTGTCTCCTCTTCAGCAAGGACAGCGCCAGTGGAGGAGGAGGAGGAGGAACCGGGCACGGCCCCTCTGGGAGCCAGCGAGGGCCCAGACTACTCCGAAGTGCCCACTCTGGTGAGTGCAAAGCAAGCCCCTCCCTCCCCTCTTGGCTCTTTGTGGGGGTCCCTTAGGGACGCCGGCCCTCTCTCCACGCAAAGGGCCAGCCGTGCACCCTGGGGTGGCCTTGCACTTGGTCAGGGGGAAGGCCGATTCACGACCGCTGCTGTGGATAATTTCAATCTGCTGCAACCGTCTTGATTTGGGCAGGCCGTAAAAGAAACAAGCTGAGGAGGCCACCCCCGCCTCCGGTGGGACTGCATTAACAGACAGCTGTCTCTTCCAGGCACTGATGACCACAGACAGCGTCTCGTCTTCCAGCGACCTTGGGGAGAACGCCACGGACACAGAGCTGCCCAAAACCTCGGAGGGTACGGTGTGGGTCTGCATGTGGGGCCATTGTGGGAATTTGTAAGCATGAAAACATTATTTTTCTTAAAAAACACACAAAACACCACCTGTCACCCGTGTCAGCCTCTCTTGCTGATGCTTTGTGAACTCCTGTTGACAAGCCGACCTGGGTTAAGGGTTACATAACGAACAGGCCAGATCAGGTAACACCCAGATTAGCCGGCCTTCCTCCGTGCCCTCCTTGGGGCAAGCTGGCCCCGTGCCAGCCCTGGCACCCAGGTCAAAAGGCCTGCAGAAAACAGGTTGCTGTCATGCGCTTGAAGCTCAAGGAGTGAGGTCAGAGACGATCAAGTTGCTTTCTTGGATTACCGCAATCCTTACGTGAACCTGCTGCCCCCATAAGCAGTGCTGCTGCTGCTGCTGCTGCTGCCCCTCCTCCTCCTCCTCCTCCTCCTCCTCCTCCTCCTCTCCAGTAGCAGAAAACAGCAGGGTCTCCTCTGTTTTCCTCAGGGGATGGTTTTCGGGCTCCTGAGGGATGGGAAGGGAGCGGAGGCAGGAGGTCTCAGGGTCTGGGAGCCCCTACCCAGAAGCCCCGTTCACCGGCCCACACGTCACACTGCGGAACGCGGGGGGGGGGGATAAGTAAGGAACAGTTAGGGAGAGATCCCCCACGGAACAGCCCCCCCCCCCCCAGCAAATTCAGGCTTTTTAAAACTCTTGGCATGCGAAAGACAAACTGCAGCAAACGGGTCGGAAGGGAACACGGGCAAACATGCCACTCTGCCAGCCACAAGCGACAGACTCTCAGCATTGCCCCTACACCCACCCCCCTGAGCTTAGCAGGCCCAGCAGCCTGTGACACCCAGAGCGCAAAGGGGGAGGAATAGTCCAGAAGGGCAAGGGCGCCAAGCAAGCCATCGGCAGGGACACAGGTGGGGAGGGGAGAACAACAGAAGGGCACTGAGGGTGGCCTGCTGAGTTCACACGAATGGGTGCCGTCCCTTGCTGACCTTTCAGACCTCCGGACTCAGCAAGCTAACTGTGGCGATGTTTACTGTATTAAGTAAACCTAATTAGCTCAACTACAGACTGCAGGAGGACAGGCAGGCACCTAAGCAGCAGGGCCCCCAAGGCAGCCCATGCAGCTTCTTCCTTCTGGGTGAACTCTAGCGCAGTGTTGCCCACACAGGCAGAAAGTCCCTGTTTTCCTTCAGAAAAAGCCCCTCCCCCTCCACCCCCATTAACGTTCCCACAGGACCCTTCAAAAAGCAGCAACGGCAGCAGCTTACCTTGTGGCCTGCCAGGCGACGGGGACGGGCGGAGAAAGAGTGTCTCTTTCCCTGATCTGGGCAGGGCTGCCCGTTGTGCTGCCTCCCCCCCCCGGAGGGGCCCCGGGAGCACCGAATCCTGATACCAGCCGTAAGTCTTAGCCAGGGGTCGCTGGGTGCCAGCTCCCACTCTACCCCGAACCTGGCTGGCAGAGGACGAAGGGATCCACGCTCCGCCATGGGCTGATGCGCCCTCTCTTCTGTGCGGGAGTCGTACTCAACCCACGAGTCTTACTTCCGAGTGGACCCGGCCTCGGCCTGTACAGTAGGCACACTTGTTCCTGGGGACACTGCTCGTCTCTCTGCTTTCCCCCTCAGACCACCTGGAAACGGTCACCTTGGTCGGCATCATCCTTGGCACCATTGCGGCTATCGGAGTGGCCACAGGGATCGTGATCGTCGTTGCCAAGAAAATGTCGGGCAGGTACTCGTAAGTACGCGGCTGGGCGGGGATTGGACGGCCGAAGGTCCCCTGGCTCAGCTCTGGAGGCAGGGGAGGGGGAGCTTCCGTCTGAGAAGCAGCTCGGATGATTTCAACGTAAACGTCTCCGTGGGGTGGAAGGCCCCGCTTCTGCCCTCCTTCTCAGGGCCCCCCGTGGCTCTCCTTCCTTCTCAGTCCTCTCAGCCACCTGGGGTGAAAACAAGCAGCAACGTGTGTTAGTTTTGTATGCAGAAATCTCCTCTCTGAAACCCTGGACTCTCTTTCCCCCCATTTATCTTCCCCTTGCAAGGGGGGGGCAGGGCGACTTGGATTTCCTGGGCTGCCATTTGCCAGCCCCACTCCTGCAAGCCGCAAGAGGGGCTGGCAGCGGGGTTTCCATGAGCCCCCTCTGCCCTTCGCCCCCCTACTCCTTGGAGCCCAACAGCTCGGGGGGGGGGGGGAGAGGGCTTTCCTTGGGGCAAGAAAGAGCCGAGTTCAATTCAAGAACTGCAGAACTGAGTGAGGCAGCCAGAAGGTAAAACTCCACCCCTCTCTGTACATCGACCAGCAGATGGAAATCCATTCAGCTCTCTCAAGAAACTGGCTAAGTTCTCAACTGCCCCCCCCCTCACACACAAAAGGCTGCCTGCTGGAATAGTGGAAAACCATCAAAGTTTGCACTGGAATTCAGCCCTGATGATACTAAATCGCAAGTGCTAAAAAAAACAAACAACCCCAGCCTTTGAAAGGTTGGTTTTAATTGTGGCTTCAAAATCAGAAAGGGAGGAAACGGAGAAAGGCCTTAAAGGAGGTCAGAGTCTCGGGGGGGGGGCATTTGCTCAGGGGAGGGAAACCAGGGGTCTGGCGTTCCCCTGGTTCATCTGTGAGGCAGAGGCCACTCCTAGCCACACCAGCTCAGCAGGGGACTTTGGGCCGGTCCTTTCCGCCCAGCCAGACCTACCTCGCAGGGGTGTCACAGGAAAAAGAGGAAGGACAAAGTGCTGCATGGGCAATCCTGAGCTCCTGAAAGTACAAGGCTTAAAGTGCTGCTCCCTTCTTTTCTTGCAGGCCCTGAACCTGGCTGAGGAGGGGGAACCCTGGCTTCCCAAAGGCACTTTCTGATTTCAGGGGAAAACGGTGTCACCACCTGGCAGCCTTGGAACTACTACGCTCTGTCTGGGCTCTGATTCAAATTACAAAGAGAAATGTTTCCTGTTATCTCCCACTCTGTTCAAAAACATATTTTTGAAGCGCTCTGGTGTGTTCTTCCCACTTCGGTTTCCTCACTCTGCTTCATCATCTGGGAGGGAGACGCCGGTCCCTCCCCTCCCCCAGGATGCAGCTGTCAGCAGCCTAAGAGGGGACACTTTCTTCTCCGGCTTCCTTCCTGGACTACATTCCTCTCCTCCAGTTCAATGTGAATTCCTCCAGAATGTCATAAATGCAGAACTGCATCCTAAGTGCCGCCTAGTTGGTGGGGATGCAGGATGCACAACGCTGAATTAGAAAAACTAATTTGCAAAATGAAAGAACGAGCATTGGGCAAAACAGGCGTTTGGCTGCACCGGCAGCAGACTGGCCTAATCTGAGCACGGCAGGAGCAGATTAAGGCGGCTGGTAAACTCTCTTGTAACTCTCCTTCTGAGGCTGACCAACTGCACAGAAACCTTGACTGGCCCAAACACAGAAGAACGACTGAACGACCGACCAACGGCACCGCCAGTGAAAACTGCAACACCCTTTGAGACCTGGGGGGGGCTCTAGCGATGGGGATGCTGGAGAAGAAGCGAGGAGGGCAGGGATTTGCCCCAACCAAGGAAGCCCCTGCGGGACCCCGGCTGCCCCCCCCCCCCACAAGAGAAGTGAAGGTCCTGGATGAAGAGCAGGGAGAGCCTCCCTTCCCCCCCCCCCGTTCTTCTTCCTGCCCCCTCCCCCTCCCCAGACAACAGGCCGGTGAGACTGACCTCTCTCCCAGGGTGGGAAACGGGAGAAGGGGAAACGAACATTAAAGGGGCAAAGGGGCTCCCCTCTGAAAAAGCAGGAAAGGGGACGGGGAGTCCTGCCTTTTCAGGAAGGAAAGCCGGCTGGGTGACTCTGGGCCAGTCCCTCTCTCTGAGCCTGGCCTGCCTCACAGGGTCGTTGTCGTGGTGGGGAAAAGAGGAGGAGGAGGAAGGAGTATCGGGTTATGCCCTGTGTTACTTATAAGAACAATAAAGGCGAGCAAGAAATAAACACGGATCCGTCCTTCACCAAAGAAAGGGACACAAACGTATCAAATGCATCAACACAAATGTATCAAATGCAAATAAATCCAAACAAAGAGGACCTGAGAGGCAACTCGGAGGGAGGGAGGGAGGGAGGGAAGGGAGGAAGGAAGAAGGAAAGGGAGGGAGGGAAGGAAAGGGGAAAGGAAGGGAGGGAAGAAAGGGAGGGAGGGAAGGAAAGGGG